CAATCTGAGAATTGTTAAAAAAAAAAGTAAATTGCCACATAAATGGGAGGTGTTAGATCTTGGGTTTTAAGAATTATGATGCCTTTTTACATTCATGCACATGAGCATATTACAATGGTTATGTATGTGAAATTTTATGTATTTAATTTTATTCGTGTTTTTTAATTGTACATTTAATTAAATGCAAAGCTAATCACTAATTCATGACGTTTTCATCTTTAAGGCCTAGATTTTGACATGTCACAGATAATCTCTCTCCCTCCCAGTAAATTTGTTTCGGGAAATCTATGACACAACAGGTACATTTCCTGGGGTTTCATTTGTCTAAGAATGTCTTGTCTTTAAGCCTGAAAAACAACTTTCACTTACAGCTTTGAACTAGATGTCATGGCCCTTGTGTTCTCTGCCTAACTCCTCCTTTACTCCTCTATAAGTAACTTTTTCAAGACTTATTTTTTATTTATTTTTTACTACTTATCTATGATCTATAAATATTTGCTACTGTGTACCCAAGCACTGAGTTTTAATTCTACCCTAAATATGGTGAGCTCTTTTAATTCCTATACTCAGGCATAAATTTCAGCTCCTGAAAGCATTCTCCTTGTCTCACACAAAACTTTAATTAAATGTCACAAAAACTTTAATATGATTTCCTTGATGGTCCCACGAAGCACAGGGCTGATTTTTTCCATCCAAATAATTTCAACTTATTTTAAACCCAAATCCCTTAAACCCATCCTGCTTGAATAGAAAAATATTAGTTAGGATTGGTGTTTTTGTTTTATTTTTGGTTTTGGTCCTGGAGACTGAACCCAGGACCTCCGGATGGCAAGCACAATTCTACCACGGAGCCACACTCAGCCCCCTCATTAGGTTCTTTTCACATGACAGTTCTTTTTAATCCTGCATTCTTTGATTCTTTGAGCTCTGAAGTCCCAGAATAATCATTACTTCTGAATAGAAGAGCAATATCATTCTATATTTATGGCTTGACCTATTTGTGTTTAGAAATTAATTTATCAAAATAACATAATCTTGGCTTTCTTAACTTGATATATGAAACAAAAGGCAAATGATGGATGTAAACTTTTCACATGTATGGATTTTAGAAATCCTTAGAAAAAGTAGTTTGTGTATGGAAATGTGTCAAGGTTGCCACTGTGGAAGATAACTTAGTAGTTGTTTACGTTCATTTTGTCATGGACACCAAAAATCTATAGAAGAGAAAACAGAAGATTCCATTTGTTTTTTTACTGTCTCTGTTTTTCTTGTCAAGGTTCTTTTGAATTCAGGAAGAAAAGCAGATTTGAGATGATTAATACAGACAATACAGATTAGTTATCGCAGATTTGAGATGATTAATACAGACAATACAGATTAGTTATCAACAAGTTAAATTCATTATGCATCCTGCAAACTTCTCCTTAAACAAATATTTGACCGTGTTAATCACAAAACTGTCCTTTGTGTTTGATATAATGTCTTCCCAAGTACAATTCTCCTAAAATTCCTACTATACTCTCCAGGATTCTTGGCATTATCCTTTTTATATTAATATATTACATAATCATAATATATTTTATTCCAATAGAGCTTGCTTCCCTCATTTATAAAATTCCTCCATCTCTTTGGAATCTTACATCTTCATAACTATGTTTCAGATGAAGAACTTACCTACAGTGAAATATCATATGCATTTGTAACATTCTATCCCTATTCCATGTTCTTAGAAGCACAGAAGTATACTATTCTAAGATTCAGGAATAAGCATTTGTTTAATATAAAAGTTTCTTGGCATATAATTTTCATGCTACTTCCATATGTTTTGTTGTTGTAACAGTTGAGTTTATCTTTTGATACATTTAGGAATATTCTAATATACTTGTATCACATTCAACTTAATAGCTACTTTTGAAAAATTTATTATGATAAGTTGTTATTGAACAATTCTTATTCTTTAAGAATTGTTGAATAAATGAAAAAAGGAGTCCTATACATGAACAAATACAAATGAAAGCATGGAAGTGCTGAGTTCACTTGTTCCAGAAGCTTTTTTTTTTTTTTTTTTTTGATGCCTACTGTGTGTCAAGCACCATGAAAGAAAGGTTCTGGATCTAGATCGATCTGATGTCATCTGCCTCAGTGTAATTACTTCACTTCCTTTTCCCTAGTCCGCTCTCAAAACTGAAACAAAACATTTATAGCATCAGCATCATGTTGTTATAATGAGGCGATTCCAGTGACTCTATCTTTCCACACCATTCTTTATCAGTATCTTAACTTCTTTGTTCTAGTGTCAAGAGAGAGCAATGAGTTATGGCCTAAGGCTTAAGTGAGGCACAGATAAATCTAATTCAACAAGTTAAAACATAACTTTTGTCAAGACAGACTTCTTTAGATCAGGCAGGTAATATCATAGAGGTAGACTGGATACCTACAAAAAGTAATCACCCTCTTATATCTCACTCACAGAACTTTCTCTAATGTTCTTTTTGCAAAGCCCTTGCTTTTACTCTATTATATTATTCAGTTCTCTGTATTTTATGATTATTAACATTTAAAATAATTATAAAATATTTAATATGCAAAAAGAAAACAAACTCCCTTGGAACTTCTGTACTCAGAGAAAACTACTATCAATGTTTTGTTATGTATCCTACTCTTTTTAAATATACACATTATCATTTGTTGTCCATGAACTTCTTGTTTTGACTCTCTGTGTGTTCCGTGGAGCACTTTATTTACAGATATGAATTCACCTAACACCTGCAATTTATAGGTCTTTCAACTGCAATCTAGACCCCTCTAGACAAATCCACTTGGTACCTCAAAAACAGCTTCAAACACAAATTCATCATCCTCCTTCCTCCTCCTTGAGTTTCCTAATTTGTTAGTTCTTGACTCTCGCTCACTTAACTGCACAGCACACACTGCTATTTCCCTAAGAAAAACCTGTCCTCAGTGGGCCCAGTCTCTGCCCCCCTTCCATCTGCCTTCTCAGCTCAGATTCATCAGAGAGAATAGAGTCCTCCAGCTCTCCACTAATGACAAAGTGAAGTCTACATCCTTGGCAGGCAACCGATCTTCCCATTTTCATGTCTCTTCTCCTCCCTAGACTACAGCCACCAAAAGCTGCAGTCAATTGGAACCAGAGTGACCTTTAACTTGAGGTCTGATGCTCCACCTAGTGGTACAGAATGATATCCTGAGATAGGAATCTAAGCCATAAGCCTGGGTCAGATGCTGTGAGGTCAAGCAAACCTGCTAAGACCTGAGTTTGTCATCTGCAGGCAGATATGGAAAGGGCCAAGAAGCCCTGGAATTCAGTGGCCCAGACAGAGGTTTGATCTAAGCACTCTACACTCATGAGGAAAAGTCCCAAACCTCCAAACCAGTTGTTCTTGTCATTCCTGAGAGAAGAGGACATGCTCTAATGGCATCTCCTTATTAATTGCTGCCAAATAAAATCACACCATTTTGGCTGATGACTACATTGTTACCTATATCTTTCAGAATGTTCATAAAACATAAACAAATAAAAACAGGTATTGCTCTTCTATGAACTTATTCTTCTACTCAATGCACATTTAAAGAGCACCTGCAGATACTACAAGGCCCGAGTCACTCTAGCCTGCAAACACAGAATCAGACAAATCCATGGGGAAAAAGTGGAAATCTAAGCTGGACAGGGACAGAGAGGGCTTCCCAGACGCACAGGTGACTGAGCCATGATTCTGTCAGTCAGGTAGAGTTAGTCAGGTAAAGACAAAGGTATTGTTTAAGTCTCAGTGATATTATAACAGTATACCACATTAAAAAACTATTCTAACACAGCAAGAAATCATGGGCAAAACAAGATGTAGAAGGCAATTTTTATTCATTCTTTTCCTCTTGTTGGATATAAGGGATAATATCAATTTAATTTTAAGAGGAAGTTTATTAATTCTATAGGAGTCTCCTTCAATATGTTGACAGTTTATATAGTATATTCACAGGTTGAGATTAAAAGCACCCATTTAGCTGAGTTTTATTTCACATAATCATCTTGGCCCACTGTAATGCTGCAAACCACATGCTCTTAGCTGCAAATTTTTCATCTATCCCTATCAGAACAAAGACAGCAATGCAGCACTTATTACTACCTTGATGGCAGTACATTTTATCTTTGAGTAGCACAGTAAGAAAGTCACATGAAGCATAGATACTGTTATTCTGGTATTAATGGGGACCAAGTGGATGGCCCTCTGGAACAAGCTCCCTTACTCTTCTATAAGACATGTCTTATATGCTGCATTTGTAATGTGTTCTCAGATGCCTCCTACAGTTTTCTTCCCCTTTGCCTACTAATTTGAGCATGCTGTAACCTGTATGCCATAACAAGTTCTGACTCTGGGTACCCTTTCTTTGCATTCTCTTTGGAAACTATTCCATGCTTACATATGACAAAACAATAGAGGAAGCTGAATGATTTGAGTAAAGATAAATATGCCGTCATTGCTTATGCAGTTTCAAATGTAACAGCTATTCTGAGAAACTATATAACACTGTGGACTTTTTCTAAGCTTCCCTTTAACTAAAATGCCCAGGCATTTTTTTTCAATTGACAAATATTAAGTCATATGTCCTCCCTATTCTCTTGTTTAACTGATGTCAAAAATTGCAGGTGCTTCTTTCATGGATATGCCTATACACATTAAGAAAAATAATAAACATTTCTCCTACAGGGAGAATAACCACTCATTAGATAAATGTTTCTTAGCATATGATATGTATTAGGCACTATGCTAGATGCTAGGAATGCAAAGTTGAATGAAACATAACATTATTTCATTACTATTCATTTATATAAGATGTTACATATATAAAGAAGAGCCTGAGGCATGTGGTAGCTGCTCATAAATGGATATTATTGTTATGATGATTCACTTATAAATTAGTCTTCTAAAAACAATTATAGATTTTTAAAATGAAAATACTGCAGTAGAGCTACCAATACTTACCAATACTATAATATCTCTTCAGTTCTGTACGTCTGATTTCTTTTAACTGGTTATTTTTTCTTTTTTTCTTCTCATCAGTAACATACTCTTCTTCTACAGCAATGTTGCACTTGTCTGGTTCCAAAATGACTGCATTAGCATCTTCTTTCCCTGGATGTGTCCTTGTGGCTACAGCTGAGGCTGTCTCCGCATTTTGTTTGGCTTGCTTTTTCTTTTTCAATCTAAGAATAAGGGGGAAATAAGGGGAAAACAATGGAGACATGATTTGCTAGAAGGAATCCTATTAATTTCATGTTGTCAAGCTTTGAAAACTAATTAACTAATGCAGAAAACACATTCCTTATAATATTCTTTTTTTTAAAGAGAGAGAGAGAATTTTTTAATATTTATTTTTTAGTTTTCGGTGGATACAACATCTTTATTTTTTATATGGTGCTGAGGATCGAACCCAGCGCCCCGTGATGCCAGGTGAGCGTGTTACCACTTGAGCCACATCCCCAGCCTGTAATATTCTTAATTACATTTTCTTGGTTTCAAAATTTTCTCATCATTTATGTCGTCTTATGTGGAGGCCTATAGACCTTCCTCAATTATATCCACAATATATGATAAAAGTGTCAGGGCTGGGGTTGTAGCTCAGTAGCAGAGCGTATACCTAGCATGTGTGAGGCACTGGGTTTGATTCTCAGCAACACATGTAAATACACAAATAAAATAAAAAGTTCCAACAACCACTAATAAAAATATTTTTAAAAAGAGTATCAGTAATCTCCTAGGCCTTAGGAAAAATGAGATTCTCTATAGGCTACTAAATGTTGAGTAATCTTTTTTTAAACAAGATATATAGTACCCTTACTATAATGCCATATTTGGTGTGTTATATTTTTTAAAAGGCACTTCTGGTGTTCCGTGATACCTTTGGACTATTGGGCAAGCACATAAGTAAAACAAGTCCTTTATAATTGGCTCACGTGTTCACTATTAAGTTTTGGCAAGATGTGAAATGGTTCAGATCTAAATAATTCTTTCCCTTTACACATGTTATTACAGGAGTATTAAAGAAAGAACAGAATTTCCTGAGATAGAAAATGCCATAATGACAATATATAATTATCATTGTGATTACTAATAATAGCTGATAATTACTACTAATAGCTGATACCTTAGTAAACATATTTGATGCTTTCAATTTTTTACCTCTGAGTCCAAGACATATGAGAGAAAGTTTGTCACAATTCACTGAAATCCAATAACTCAAAAATAATTTCCAGTTGGTGCATTACTCTGTAATTATTTCATGTGTCGCTTCTATGCTTCTGGTCCTTTTTGAGAACGTCTATGCTTTAGCAAAGTGTAAACTCTTTGTTCTAGAACAAGGGTCTTAGACTCTCATACCTGGGGCACTCTGCTTACACGCAACTTTTTTTTCTTTTTTTAAATGAGGACATTTCTTCATGTAGATAGAAATTATCTAGGCACAATTTGCTTTCTCTTATTTCAATCCTTTGTCTTTTTATGCATCTGGACAATGGATGAGGAAAGTATGGGTAGAAAACCGACATAACTGAAGGATAATACAGAGGTAATATTTGGTCTTCTGCTGCTTTGCTCTGTGACACTAGACAAATACCTCCAACAGTCAAGAAAGGTCTCTCCTTAAGGCCTGGACCCATTAGAGAGCTCTACACTCAGTCTAGAAACCAAACTCCTCTAGCCTCAGTCTTCTCATATTAAAAACGACAATTGGGCTGGGGCTGGGGCTCAGTGGTAGAGCACTTGCCTCACATGTGTGAGGCACTGGGTTCAATTCTCAGCACCACATATAAATAAATGAATAAAATAAAGGTCCATCAACAACTAAAAAAAATATTTTAAAAGAAACGACAATTATTTCCTTATGTATCAGCAGAGTTTTTTAAAATTACGATTAGCTGAGATAATATATCTCAACATATGATGGAAAACAAATAAGACCCCAAATAGTAAAATATCCCCTAACCCAATTACATATTAACATGAAAACAAAGCATGGTAAGGTACATGACACACACTGCTTTGGGGACAAAGGCCCCCTATTCCAATAAGATATTTCAAGTAGGCTGTTACACAATGAACACTGAGAAGGAGTTCTTATATTTTTCACTGACTAATAAATCAGTACATGGCTCAAGAGATAAGACAGTTGGAAAAAAGTCACAGATAAATACATTTTTTATGTTTGCTTGTTATTAGCTATCTTTTTATATTTGCTTGTTAAATAAAATCACAAACCAAACAAATTAGAGACTCATAAAGAGGGACCGTTTCAGTAAATATGGTTTCATTTTGTATCATCTGATTTTAAACTCTTTTTTCTGGAAAAAGAGTAGGTAGATCTTCATAAAAGTTTGGTCTGATAATGCCTCTAATAAAACAATTTTTATCCTGATCAGGATTACTATATGAGACTCAATTGAAGTGCATTAGCCTAGTTAATATACAGACATAATTTTTTTTATACAGAGAGGTTTGTCTCTGCAGAGAGCTGGTCTCTCTCCAAAATGATGGCTACGGATGGGCTGATATTATTTTCCAATGCATTCGCTGAAAAAAAAAATGCTTGAAATGACCTTTTTGCACCATTCAAAAATGATTTTTCCAGGAGAGAAAATAGATGTTGAAAATTAGTTTTATGCAGCCTGAGATATGCTGCCTTTTAATCTTCTGAGTTTTTCCACTTTAGGTTCATTGAAATGTCCTCATTTCACTGCCTTCATGATAATTAGAGTCACTCAGATCTAGGGCATGTGTTTCGATGAACAGAGCACTGTTTGGGGACATCTCATTAGAGACTAATTTTCACACAGAGAAATAACAAAATGGGATACATTGTTTTATTCATTTTTCTCCCTTTTCCACATGGAACATTATTGTCAACACATAAAGCCAAACAGAGTTGTTTCTTCAGGAAAAAAAAAAAAGACCAGAAAAACAGCAATTCCAAACTTGTTTAACAGAAAAGAGAACATGATTTAATATATGAGAAATTCTATTATCATCTACGTCTATTGTCTAGAGTACTGCGGGAGAATTTATTTTTATGGAGGCTGTCAATATAACTAGAAAATTCTGATCTTACAACTCAACTAGAAATCAGATGGATTTATGGAAACCTGTAAAATCCCTCATTCTCAGCATAGAAATGTATTTTTGACAACTTTTCTAAGGATAAATAACTGCCAACCTAGAAATGTGGTATGGCTGATGATCTCCAAACATTCCTCTTTAGAGTGCTTGTTCTCTAGCCCTTCTCTTTTGTTTCTTCAAGCCAATATCTACTGTGGTAATTAATCCTCACAATAGGGATTTGTATCACTAAATGGGTAAATCACTAATTGGTCATCACTAAGGTAAACTGGAGGAAAAATGGTCTTGCAGAAAAATAAACTCCACTTATTTCATGTAAGCCTTTAAAATGACATCGGATATACACTTATTTATATTGTGAACTAAAAACAATACTTGGCAAATCATCTTACAGATAAATGATTGAAAAAACTATTAATGGACATTTAAGATTTGATTGTGGTAAGCACACGTTAAAAAACTAAAAAAACAGAATCACCCAAACCTTTATTATTTGCACTTGTCTTTCTTTAAAATAAATCACAATTACATAAAACAAGTGTTTTAAACTCAACCCCCTCCCACTATTGTACCCAAGCCCTGTCAGTTCTAGCTCCTAAATCTCTCCTCATCAAATTCATCTTCTCTTCTTGATCTCTGCTCCCACTGATCATGTCAGTCTTTCATTCCCTCCCTGCCTGTCTACTTTTTACAATATTATTTATTACTCATTATTACAAAAGTAACACCTGTTCCCACTAGAAATTTTTCAAAATGTAGGAAAATAAAATGGATAAAACTTAAGTGCAGTGCAGAATCTAAGAAATAATCATGGTTTGAGGGAGATAAATGAAAGCCAGAAGAGAAGGGAAATGTTACCACTCAGACCTTCCCCAAGTGCAGAAGAATGAAGCCATGATTCTGAACTTTCTATATGTGCCTTCCCATAATGGAATATTGAAGATCTTTTTTTCATTATTATTATTCTTGAATCTGCCAGCTTTTTTACATTAAAATAGTGAAGGCACTTAGTATCCTCTAATACAACCAGACCTCATTTTCTCCCAACTAGTGTCCCGGCCCACAGTTAGCAAACCGACTTAGAGGTAAAGGAGGTGATAATGCTGAAGAAATCATTGTAGCTGAATGAAAACTGTTTTTCTTCTGAAACTTTTTCCTTTACTAAAGGAAATGAGTTTGGGACCCTGGCAGCAATCAAAGGTCAGGCATTGAGCAAGATCCTCTCTGCAGCTTTGCGATGGTCCCTTCCCTAGGGTGCGGTGCTCATTGTTAGAAAGCAATACAGAAGGCACCAGGTGATGAGGCTCTTGTGAGTGCTTACAGTGAAAGCTTTATGAGGACAGGAATTTGCTCTTAATGCTGTGCTCCCAGGGCCTACACAAGGCACACAGTCACTTAATTAATGCTTCTTGAATGAATAAATGGAGTCCATGTTCTGATTTGGTTGAGATCTGCTCTCCTATAAACATGCCTTTTCACAGCTTTCTCTGATTACCAGCATGTTCTCAAAAATAAACTCCCATCTCCTTATTCAGATTCTTGATTAAAAAGAAAATATACTAGCCACATATAATTTAAAATGTATTGAAATATAGAATCCTTTAATATTAAATTAGTGGTATGTCCCTTTCCTTAATTTTATAATTTAAAGACCATGTGTTTCTGAAAACCATGCCATAGTACTGCATGGTCCATGGATAACCATTAGCCAGTCATCTATGGCTGTTAAATTAAAGTAAAATAAAAATCTAAAATTCAGTTGTAAGAAACACATTTCAAGAGCTCAGTGGATTTGTGCTAGTACTATTCTACTGGACAACATACACAAAGAACACTCCTGTCGCCACTGGGCAACCCTGATTTAGAGCGATGATAGCCCTTTTAGCAAGAGACGGAGGAAAAGGTGCAGATGAAAACAATTTAACAATTAATACATGTATATGATATGTTTTTAAGGCTACACACACACAAAAAAAACTGGTAATGTGAGTTTCCAGAAAAAAGAAGTTATTAGCTGGGACCAGGGATGGGGGGAACAGATTAAGAAGATTATTGTTTACTGTGTTCTCTTTTGTACTTTAAAAATTTTATGTTA